AGTATTATAAAACATATCACAGGGAACCCAAAACATGCAATAACCCCATAAAATATATCCTCGGAACTGGGGGATCTGGGTGAACCACATATCCAAAATTCACCCAAATCCGTTCAGTAGTTGGGAAGATGCAGTTTAATGCAGATTCCGCAGAACATATACAGGCTATATGAAAAATATTTACTGTATAACATGTCCCCTGTTGTATAGTTTAAAACTACTGAACGATGTCTTCGTGCACCAAATACTGGCGAGATGGCACCGTGTAGAAAAGTCCAAACAGTGTCTGTGAGTTAAAATGGCCGCCATCCATTGTTCTCACCCAGGGCCAGATTAAGAGCCACGTGGGCCTGGTGCTGACAATTATGACGGGCCTAATTAAAGAATCATATCGACCAAAACCAGTAAAACACTCCCAAGCATCATGTATCTGATGGAGATGGTGCTGGAGAGAAAGAAAACAGCAGCTATAAGAAAACACATACCCTAGGCTAATCTCTCTCTAATTTATGTTTTCATCTTTCAAGTAAATCCATAACCCCTAACAGCAGTGTTCAGTCAAGCAGGAAGTCAATGGGCTGGGTAAAAGGGTGTGCCACTGACACAAATCACGTAACCTGCCAAAAGGGGCGTACATGCCCAAAAGGAGGACATGTCTGCTCAAAGAATTAGAAGGCCAGCCTGGTATGAATGCATGTCAGGCTGCCTGCCAATCATGCAGCTGGCCAACTAAGGGCATACTATGCAGACAGCACTCTGAGCTTGGCATAAATGCATCTAATGATGCGCTCACTCAATGCTTTCTAAGGACTGTCCCCTAGCACTCGCTGGTCCACTTGTCTCCTTACCTTCTTACTAGCAGGCAGAAGCTCCTGGTATATGGTCTGGGACAGAGAAAAGCTGTATGTAGTGAGTGTAGAAGAAAAGGAACATGCCACAGTGTTAGAGAGACCAAAGTCAGCATTACCTTAAAGGATCACTATAGGGTCAGGAACACAAACATGAATTCATGACCCTATAGTGTTAACACCACCATCTAGCCCCCCTGGGCCCCTCATGTCTCCATAAATATAGCAAAATCTTACTATATTCAAGCTCGAAGCTGTAACTCTGCATGCTGTTAGACTCATAAAAACAAGCAGTCTGCTGACATCATTAGAAGTGGTGGCCTAATCCAATCATAGTGCTTCCCCATAGGATTGGCTGAGACTGACAAAGAGGCAGATCAGGGTCAGAGCCAGCATGATTCAAACACAGCCCTGGCCAATCAGCATCTCCTCATAGAGATGAATTGAATCAATGAAATCTCTATGAGGAAAGTTCAGTGTCTGCATGCAGAGGGTGGAGACTCTGAATGTTTGGATGCATTTTAGGCAGCCATGACCCAGGAAGGATCTCTAACAGCCATCTGAGGAGTGGCCAGTGAAGTTATCACTAGGATGTAATGTAAAGACTGCATTTTCTCTGAAAAGACAGTGTTTACAGCAAAAAGCCTGACGGTAACGATTCTACTCACCAGAACAAATTCAATAAGCTGTAGTTGTTCTGGTGACTATAGTGTCCCTTTAACTATATTCATTGTCAGCTAGTCCACACAAGTTTTGTTCCCATACATCCCACTTAAGTTTCCATAGTTAAGTAAGAGTATGTGAAAAGTAGTTAGGGTTGCCACCTTTCTTGGAAAAAAAAAGGAGTGACATAAGAGAAAATGCTGTAAAATCACCAAAAAAAACTATTAGTTTGATTCTGCTGTATAGATGGATTCCTCCCAGTGCCCCCATGTCTCCCAGTGCCCCCATGACTCAGTGCCCCCATGTGTCCCTATGTATCAGTGTCTCAGTGCCCCATGTCTCCCAGTGTCCCCTTGTGTCGTGTCCCCAGATCTCCCAGTGATCCTGTGTATCACAGTGTCTCAATGCCCCATGTCTCCCTGTGTCCCCATGTATCCCAGGGTCCCCATGTCACTAGGACACTAGGAAGACGGGGAGACCTGGGGACATGGGGAGACCTAGGGACACAGAGACACAAGTGACACTGAGAGACTAGGGGACTCTGGCTGGGACACATGGGGACAATGGGAAAATAAGGGACACTTGAAGACATGGGGACACAGACACCAGGGACACAGACACTAGAGACACTGGCTGGGGGACATTGAGACATGGGGACACTGAGACACCAGGGCCACAGACACAAGGGACACTAGCTTGGAGACATGGGGACATTGTGACACTTTAGGCAATGAGAGACATGGAAGCACTATTAGACATGGGGACAGTGAGACACTGGCAGACTGGGAGACTAGGGGTCACTGGGAGACAAGGGGACACTGAGACACCAGGGACACTGGCTGGGCTGTGTCCCCATGTGTCTGTGTCATAATATCTCCCAATGCCCCTTAGTGTCTGCTTAATTCTAGTGTCTGCCATAATGTCTCCCAGTGCCCCTTAGTGTCTCAGTGTCTGCCATAATGTCTCCCAGTGTCCCTTAGTGTCTCAGTGTCTGCCATGTCTCCCAATGTCCCTTAGTGTCTCAGTGTCTGCCATAATGTCTCCCAATGCCCCTTAGTGTCTCAGTGTCTGCCATAATGTCTCCCAATGCCCCTTAGTGTCTCAGTGTCTGCCATAATGTCTCCCAGTGCCCCTTAGTGTCTCAGTGTCTGCCATAATGTCTCCCAATGCCCCTTAGTGTCTCAGTGTCTGCCATAATGTCTCCCAGTGTCCCTTAGTGTCTCAGTGTATGTCTCCTCGCAGCCTTTCCCCCATCCCTTACTTTCCTGAGCTGTAGGCTGTCTCTGCAGGGTGGAAGTTGCTGTCTGGACTCTCTGTAGCTGCACCCCTGCAGATCAGTGTAGGCAGGCAGGCAGGGAGGGATATGCTGGAACTTCCTATCCCTGCCTGTCTCCACACACAGCGACCCCTACTGGTCAGTGCTGGTATTGCATAGTAATCTCTTGTTTATACTGAGAAAAATACCAGCATTTGTATTGCCAGTATCACTGCAATAAAAGCCAAGTGGAATCCCTAAGAGTAGTGTGTAAAACAAAAACAAAAAAAACAAAAAAATGAATTTTTTTTAAATCAATGGGCCTATTCCATGGGCCTGGGCCTGGAGCTGCAGCTCCATCAGCCCCTATGTTAATCCGGCCCTGTTCTCACCATGTGCTTCATCCATTGTTCTCACCATGTGCCTCTGATACATGAAATGGTGGCCACCCAGTAACTCCACAGCATGTCCCCAGATAGTTCTTAAAGGGCCAGCAGCATAATAAAATACAATATGCCCAAATACTGTATTTAAAGGGCCAAATCTCACAGGACCATAGTCGGCAGGCAGGAGGCGGGCAAACAGGCTTATCCAAAGCCCAGTGGCGAGGTTGGTTTCGCCACAGTGACACTATTAATCCTCACCTTAAAAATGAAGACTCTAAAAGAACCCTTCTCCCTCACCGAACACAATTTTCAGTAAATGTCAAATAGAAAATTCAGTATGCTGCTAGCAAACGTCAGGCATATATTGGTTTCTGATCGAACTGGCACATGAAGATGAATGCAAAATAATTCAGTTTCCATTTACAGGAAAGATTGTCATAGTTTGATCTCAGTCTCAAGCTTCCAGCTGATATTTGAACAAAAACAAAAAAGCAAGGCATTTCATGAAGAATTTGAGGTGAGATATCAAATGTGTGGAAAAAAAACTTCACTGTGACACTTTGGGTGATATTTACTTGACAAGGTAGGGAATATGCACAGAATTTACATTAGCACTCTAGACACTCTAGCTCTGAGCTGGTTAACGATGCCCCTTAGATGTTGCCACAGATGGAGTTAGTCCAAAGGGATTAAAGCAGTTATGGTGCTTGGAGTATCCCTTTATCATAAATATGGTGTGAAAAATCTAATTAAATGTACAAATCCACACAATCCTATAAATGCCATCCTTGAACGTAGTGCCTCCATCTTATACATATACTATTAATACAAATTAAGTATGCTTTGACACTATCAGAGAACTGGAACTCGCAAAAAGAATATATAAGGATCAGAAGAGCTCACCACTGTGCTAGCAAAGGTAACAGGTTGAAATGGGAATAAACTTTATTGAAATTTTAAATATTAAAAATATTAAAAATATCTGAACTTGATTACCCACCTACCTCACCCCCACACAGCATATCCTACTTGCAGAATGCATTTGGCAACATTTCTTTTTTAAATTACAATCCTATACTTTATATAGGGTTTATAGGGTTTGGATGCATAAAGCACTTATTATAATCTGGTCACCAAATCTATCCGTCCAACTGGTGCAGATTTGGTCGGTATGCCGAATACAAACGGAGTGAGCTATAGTAAATATAAGAATTGGCATTCTGATTGTAATTCACCCTTTTCATCAGATTTTATCTGAATTGATAAAATCCTGCATTTAGCAAATAACCCTGTAGATTTTCCATGTCATCTCCAAACAATAAATTGTGTTTAGAAAATGTTTGACAACACAGTCATTAAATACACACTCTCCATGCTCAGAAATCTGAAACTGAAAATAGTTATAGTCATGTTTGTGTTCTTTAGATTCAGGTATAACTTAGAAACAAAACTTTTTAAAAAATTATTCTCAATTCACTCTATTAATATGGTCAATAATAGCACTCTTACTGTTTATGAATTACAACTCTCTATAAATTCAGAATTTTCCAAGAAAACTGGGACTAATAATAACTTGTATTTATATAGCTCCTATCTCCCTGTGGGACTCAGAGTGCTGTTCAGCACACACTCTCGTAATAAACCAAATCAGCAGCTGAATTGTAATAGATATTATTATTACCCAATTGAAGGTACTCATTTTTTCAACCTTGGAAGGATGAAAGGCTGAGTTGACCTTGCCAGGATTTGAACCTGTGACCTTGCATTTTTGAACAGGCTTTGTAGTCAGGGAATTGATCTACTGAGACACCTCACTTGCCAATAATGTTTATATTTCTACTTCTGCAGGAGTTGAAGGAGGTTGGAAACAGCCATCCAAAGATTGAAGCAGAACTTCCAGTTAATGCACTGAAGAATCGATATCCACATATTCTACCATGTGCGTAACTTTTGCATCAACAAAAGTGTATCCTGTAATTAATTGCAAATGCTTAACATTGATTAAAAGGTTACTTCAACCAACACATAGTGTTTTCATAAAACACTGGTTTTGTTAGAGTAACACTTTTTGTGTTTGTCCCCCACTCATTAAAAATAAAAAATTAAATAAAGCTAAAACTCACCTCTATCCAATGGTCAAGTGATCCCTGCAGCCAGATCCTCTACAGCTGATGTCACTCCTCCCCACTATTGGGGGTAGGAGTGCAAGTTGAGGGGAGGTCATGGGTGGCACTGAGGGATGGGATGTGCCGCCATTGGATGTCTGAAGCCAGCACACACAGCAAGCTGGTACCAAATACCAAATTTGCGCAAGATTAACATTTGCCACTTTGAATGCTTGTTCCCGGCTGTCTAATGACGCCCCAGTGGAGTTACACCTCTGGCAGCAGAGCATATAAACTTAGTATGTACAGAAATTCATAGCAAAACATTGCACATACAGACTCCAGGAACTATGGTGCTTTGAGTAACCCTTTAACAAACAGAACACTCATTGCCATGGCTGTGGTAGAAGAAGAGCCTATAGCTAGGTCTTTGAGGATCCAATAATATCTGCAAACCAGTGCATTGCATTATAATGCACCTCACAAATGTAAAAAAAAATTTGTGTGAACTAAACAGGATAACGGATAAATACGAAGTTCTACATCTGACATTCCCTGTATTATTATCAACAATCTTTACTCAACTGCAGAACTTTACAAAATACGTTTATGAAAATTAGGGCTATTCAATTAAGTGAGAATTCAAAGTGAATTTCAAATGTAAGATAAAAATACCAAAACTGGAAAAATTCTATAAGTCATAGAAACACAGAAACATAGAATGTGACGGTAGATAAGAACCATTCGGCCCATCTAGTATTCCCAATTTTCTAAATAATTTCAGTAATCAGTAATATTTTCAGTTCAGCTACTCTTAAATTTGAAATTTACTTAGAATTCCTACTTTAGTAAATAATTCCATATGTATTGTTAAAAATATATTTTGTCGGGGGACAGGGCCTGACCACTGAGAGCAGAGGACGCAAACCTGTATAGCTCCTGCTCTGACGCCCTAATTAAGTGGATTTCAGCCATCAAAACGGGACCTAATCCGCCCAAAAAGGCCACCAGGCGGAAGGTGACGGACAGGGGCACACAATGATGCCACACATGCGACAATTTCGGCATAACTCACCTGCTCTTCCTATGAAGCCCACACGCGTGGTCGGCGTGAGGGAGACGGCTGCTCCCCCGCTGACATTTATGGCTGAAAAGCAGAGACCAGACCCTCGTTCCCCCCCCTATAGACCAGTGGGGGTTATCCCGGTCCACCCTCGGGAAGCCCTGGTACAACCCGGCAAGAATGCTGAGGCGACACAGGGGCCTGCAACAAGCGGTGGCACTGCACCCAAAATGGCCGGTGCAGCGTGCTCCTCTATCACTCACAGCGAGCAGCCAGAGGTCTCGCTCAAGCTGGACAAGGCCTTCCAAGTTTTCTGGGAGAAGCTGGAAGCTCTTCTGTTCCCGATGGACCCAGAGAAAGTGCCTGAAACCCGGCCACACACTCACCCAAGCAGAGTCAAATGGGAGAAGTCACAGACACCTCAAGCACCGAGCCGCCCAGAAAGACAGAAGCAGTGGGACATTAGCAGACAGCAGGAGACCGGAGATGCATCATGGAAGCAACAGGTGCAAAACGACAGCCCCTTGGAACCGGCAAGTAATCGTGCGGATGCACATCAGCCCGCCATCCCACAAACCTGATAACGAGGGCCCATCACCAAGAGGCCAGAACTACCTGACTCACAGTCCGCTGGCGCAGACATGCACCTTACCCATACAAGGCATAGGCTGACCGGCAAAACGGGAAAGAGTATTATTCTAGTGTATTGACGATACCCACTACCCACAAGCTGATCGGACACTCACTCTACTATGCAGCTCCATCCAAGGGGGTTTATTTTTCGACAACAAGACTGTCATTCCCCACCGCACACCAAAACCCCCCTGGACTGCCCAGTTCTGCCCCTTGCCGCATTTTTCCAGTGACTCCCTGGGACATGCCACTCCATATGCCCTAACTTAATGACTAAGCCTGCCCACATACACTAAGCGGTGAACCTAATGATTTTGCCTAACACATAAATATAAAATTGTGCATGTACTTTAGAAATCCCAACTGTTATAGCTATGTATTAAACACGCTGGAGGATTGCCGTTGGGGTACCTCACGCGCATATGTTAAACTAATATGCACTACAAAAATAAAAAATGTAAAAAAAATATATATATATATTTTGTCAAGGAAGATTATCTATATCTCAAATATTTCAGGTTTCTCTTATATCTCCTCCCCAGATGATCATTCCCGGGTGAAGCTGACACTTATGAATGGAGATCTGAATTCTGGATATATCAATGCAAATTACATAGCGGTGAGAGCTACTTATTGATATAGTGTGTTTGTGTGATATCCTCGGGAATACTTGCACCTTAAATTGAGTCTTGATTAAATGCATACATTGAGCAGTGCATGCTGGGAGATAAAAGTATCCAGAGCCAGATAAGTTGCATTGGCACTATAGCTTAGACCCATACTTGTATCGAAAGAGATATCTGTCACATCTGTCTGTGTGCCTCTCTATCTTCTATCTTCATTGCTATAGTTCTTGTTGCCTCATCTTGTGCATGGCAGATCCTGCGAGTTTAGCAGGCAAATTCAGATAAAAATAGTTGGAAGGCAATGTAGTGTACATCTGGCCTGCACACCACCAGCTTTACACATGAGCCTTGTTTTTAATAATATCACACAGCTTTTTAATGGCGTAGTTTACAATTGTTATTTATGCAGGGTTTCAACAGAGCCACTGAATATATTGCAACACAGGCCCCCACACCGTTGTCTATTCATGACTTCTGGCGTATGATCTGGGAACAGAAAGTGAAGAATATAGTGATGCTCACAGTATGTGAGGAGAAAGGGAAGGTATGTCATATAGCTCATCTATATTCATTTGCATGCAGTAACTCCCTTTACACCCAATGTATAAAATTGTAGTGATCAATTAAAACAGTGCAAAATTAAAGGGACTGTCCAGCCAGGGAAACAAATCTGTTTTCCTGGCACTGCAGAATCCTGTAGTGCCTCCCTCCTTCCCACCTCCCATCCCATGTTGCTGAAGGGGTTAAAACCCCTTCAGTGACTTATCTGAATTGAGCGCTGAGTCAGTGCTGGGTCAGGCTTTGGCCCACGCTCCTCCAGCGCCGACCTCAGGCAATGGCGGCGCGCGCATATTAGACCTCCCCATAGGAAAGCATTATTCAATGCTTTCCTATGGGGATTCAGGCAACGCTGGAGGTCTTCATGCAAAGCTTGAGGACATCCAGCGTCGTTTAAAACACTTTTCGTGTTTTATAAAAACTGCAATAATTACACTTGCTGGGTTAAGGGTGATGGGAGTTGGCACCCAGACCACTCCATTTGGCAGAAGTGGTCTGGGTCCCTAGAGTGTCCCTTTAACTAGGGCCACGGAATGAGGCACCTGTTACAGGGTTTTGCACCCCTCCCTGTTTGTGCTCCCCTAACTCATTCCATGGTCCTATTTAAAGGAAAACTATAATGCCAGGGGAAAAAAGCTCCCTATAATGCCCTACTCCATCATGTCCCCTCCCCTTAAAAACACTTTCTGTCACTTACCTTTTTCCAGTGCCAATATCCCTCAGCACTGGTTCAGGCTCCACCTCCTCTCGACCTCTATTTACTATGGGGATTTGGGTGATGCTGGATGCATAGCGTGAGGACGTCCAGCGTCAAGCAACGGAATTCCCTCCAGTGCCCCTTGGTAGGCAGCCACTAGAGGTGGATTTAATCCTGTAATGTAATTAATGCAATAATTACCATTGTAGTGTTAAAGGACCTAGGACACTGCATCCAGACTACTTCAATGAGCTGCTCTGGGTGCCTATAGTTTCTCCAGGCCCACCATCAGGGGGTGACAACCTTGATGTATGTATGTCTGTATGTATGCATGTATGCTTGTATGTATGTATGAATGTATGTATGTATGTATATGTATGTAGGTGTCTGTATGTTTGTGTATGTATGTCTGTATGTATGTATGCATGTATGCTTGTATGTATGTATGAATGTATGTATGTATGTGTATGTATGTCAGTATGTATGTATATGTATGTAGGTGTCTGTATGTTTGTGTATGTATGTCAGTATGTATGTCTGTGTGTCTGTATGTCCTTATGCATGTGTGTGTGTGTCTGTATGTATGTTAGTATATGTCTGTGTGTCACTATGTATGTCTGTGTGTCTGCATATATGAGCATTTCTGTTTCAGTATGTATGTGTCAGCATGTATGCCTATATGTGTGTTTGCCTGTTTCAGTATGTATGTGTGTGTGTGTCATTATGTGTGTATTTTTGTGTGTGTGTATCTGTGTCCTTTTGAATCAGTGCGTGTGTTTGTGTGTGTAGGATTTGGAGGCGGGCCCTGTGGGCTCTTGGAGGCGAACACCCGGAGGCCCAGAAATTTCTGATGGTGGCCCTGAGTGTCCCTTTAATCTTGTAATGCAGAGAGTCCCAGTTGGAAAGTATTGTCAGATTTGAAGTTCTATATGTTGATGCAAATATAATAAAACACTTTGAATCATCACTTTGATATATCATTTAGTATAAATTAATGGACTCTTTTGTTGGCAGATTCTGTGTGATCAGTACTGGCCGTCAGGCTCTGCTTTATATGGACCCATTACTGTATGCTGCATTAAAGAGCTTCCTGGTAAAGACTGGATCACACGCCATTTCAAACTAAATCATGTAAGGAATGCTGGCAAATGTGTTCTAGAGTTTATACATGAAGTTTATGAAATCCTGCTCTTTTTACAATTCAGAAAGACAAAATTATAGATGAGGTGTAAATGAGAGATTGGGTGCTCAGTGGTGTGTGCTTATAGAGGAGAAGGGTTACAAGCTGTTGTAGTCAATGTTTACAAAAAGTATGAGTTTTAGCAAGGTTTCAATTTTCCCAAGGAAGAGCGGGTCATTTTAGTTCAATAATCAAAACAGAGAAGTGCCATTGGGGTTCTTTTTCAATACTTATACGTATATTGTTGGCTGACCTTCACTCAATCATTCATTAGACCTGCAACATCAGAAAACAGTTATTATTTTTTATTGATACATCACTTTATTTTAATAGTTAGAAGGCTTGGAAGTTTGGCTTCAGGCCATACCTCCAAGCCCTCTGCATAGAAGAGCTGGGATTATTACTTCCCGGCTCTCATACCCAGGCATCCCATGATCCCATGCGCGCACGAGGTCATGCATTTAGACTGGAAGAAAGGAGATTTAGTCTAAGGCAAAGGAAAGGTTTTTTTACAGTATGAACAATAAGGATGCTGAACTCTCTGGTTTTATTAGAGTTTGCACAGATGTTTAAACAGCTATTGGATAAATACTTGCAAAAACACAATATTCAGGCATACCATTTTTAATTAGTGGCTTTATAGCTTAATGATTCAAGGAGATATCTGCTATTCTGGAGTGAAGACATATTTTTTTCCTAGGTCATTGCAAAACTGTATATCGTTTCAAACTGGGTTTTTTGCTTTCTTTTAGATCAATAGCAAAAACAGATGTGAGAAAGGTTGAACTTGCTGGACACATGTCTCTTTTTCAGCTATGTAACTATGTAACAAGGATAAGCCTAAAACTTACTAGGGACATGGAGACTTTAGTGCTTAAACATGCATTCTTAACATTATAGTTTCCCTTTAAGAACAAACTGTGTGTGTTTTGTTATAGGTTGCAGATTCTCAGGTGAGGCACGTATCTCATTTACATTATACACGTTGGCCTGATCGTGGTATTCCTGAATCTCCAGCGCCCCTGGTAAATTTTGTGTTGATGATGAGGAAGATGATGGAGGCTGCAAAATATTGTGGACCCACGGTATTGCACTGCAGGTAAATTGAATATCTTTTTAAACATGGGATCCTTTCACAATCCAGTGAGTCTGCACTTCAACCAGTCAATCATTCAGTGAAGAGTTTGTCTAGGCGAGCCTGGCTTATCATTCCACTAATTAATTTATGCATATTCCAACAATCTGTGATTATACACTGCCGCATTGGTCTCCTCCCATTACGGCAGCTACTTAATGTTTTGTTCAATGATCGGTGGTAGTTACTAGACTGATGTTAATCCACTCGGTGATTTACAACTATAAATGTCAAGGGGCTATAAAAAGGAGTGCTGCTAAACACTCTCAATGTGGAAATCCATTTTACAGGTTGAGTGGTTGTTGAAAGCATTTTCTGTCTCCATTGCTTGCACAAACTGCAAAAAGGCAGCACCAGCAATGGTATATCAGTGTGTATCTGTGGTAGGGATTATCTCAGTTCCTTCAATTAATAACCTACATGTAACATATTTCTTATAAATAACTCCTTTAATTTTAACTTTTATAGTTTATCATTAATGTTCCAAAAGTATAGCTCTAGACTAGTGGAATACAAGTTTTATTAGATACAAACGACTCATTCAGAATGTATAGGATCTGATTCTCAGGGTGTTTGGAAAAATGTGCTCATGAGTGTACTACGGGCACTGGTTCTTGGGACACAAAATTGAATCCTCTCAATTTTTTCAGTGGGTCTCCAATGCTTGACCAACAGGCACATCACAAAACAGTGGTTAAAACGATTTTGGCAGTATTTTGCACTTTTACTAGATATTTTTTCATATAAATTTACTTTTTTATATATTATTTTTTATAATATTATTATATATTATTTAACAAACTTAACTTTGGAAAAATCTACTACATGTATAGAATACCTCGAAGCTTCTAATAAAATACTCTAAATTGGAACTTAACTCCAGACAGACGGTCAAAATGTGTACCGAAATTGATCCTCAGATTACCAACATTCATGTGGCTCCAGGTGTATAATGGATCATATCTTCTGGACCGGTTTGATTATTCCACCCTTAAGGGATGAGGTTTTCTCCATAATTAATGTTGTTATCCATTATATTCCTTCCAAGTATGAACCTAGCTTTATTTGTTTTTGTTTTTCCTGACAAGATAAATTGGAATGTAAATATTTTAATTTCTATCATTTTCTTATTGGCTCATTTACTCATTGCAAGGGCTTGCAATCAAATACCATCCCCTACTTTCTTATAAATTATTCCATTAATAGACCACATAGTATCTATGGAGTGCACAGCACACCTAGCTCTTGGTTCTCATACCAAATATAAAAAAGCTATTGAACCCTTACAATTTTGGAATCCCTAAGTCTTTTAAGTGATATTGTATTATACTCTGGTATACACATTACTTCATGAGAAGACTGTGTAACTATCACATGCAAGTTGTTCTGTTAATGTTAATTTGTTATACTTAACTTGACTTGTACTTTATATGACTGTATGCATGATGTAAGTGTGGCGGTACCAACCTCGCCACTGTGCACTGGAGAAGCCTGGTTGCTCGCCTGCTCCCTTTAGATTATGGCCCTGCAGTTCAGAGCTGTTATTCTCCCTGCTGAAAGGTTTATTCGTGCCTTTCTGCCAGGGTGTTCGGTAGATTCCATCTACTGAACAAACTACCGAACGATGGACCACCTGGGAGCTGGAGTGTGCTGTCAATTGACCGCCCAGAAGCTGCGGTTAACCGCAGCTTAATTGATGAACGCTGGGTGGCCGTTGTTCGTCTGCCGAACACGTGGCAGCGGCCATTTTACCTCCCGAACGGCCAGCGGTGTTCAGCGCCCAAACTATGGAACTGAAAACGGACACTTATTGGCGCGAACACCGCTGAGCCGCCAGCCTCCTTACCTTCCCATTCGGTAAGCAGAACCGAATGACTGTTCACTCGGTAGTTTCGCTGGATGAACAGCATCCCTCAGATAGCTAAGCAATGGAGCCTATTCGTGCAACGAAAGACTAGGGGAAAGACTTTGGCTCCATGGCGATTGAACTGTATGTATGTGATCTGAGCGCCATTCGGTAGTAATGTGTGCTCAGATCTAAGCTATCTGGGGATATGTAGAATGTATATGTTTTAGGTAATAAATGTGACTGTATGTAATTTGATGTCTTTTACTGTATTGTTACTGCCATGAGGTTAATGGAGTTTTGCCTCTGTCCTGGGAGATAAGTGGATTACTTCCCCAATTATCTCCAGGACAGAGAGGAGGGATTGTGATGTAATTGTGGGAGTGTTAAAGGTGTATGTCTGTGATTTGGTCCCCTAGGGGAGTGTCCACCAGGTGGGAGACCTGCATAAAAGCCGGGCAGTTAGCCCCAGTAAACCAGGTTCTACTTCACCCTCAATTTGGAGTCCTGTCTCTAATTGGGGGAATCTGCTACAAGGGATTGCAATGCTCTGCATATTCCCTTGCTTTAATCATTCATAAATTCTTGTAAGAGCTTGCTCCTGCTTCACTTTCAAGGAAGAGAGGTTCGGCCTGCGGTGGTTGTGGTGTCGGCTAGAGTGCTTGGGGTCCTCAAGAAGCGCTAGGAGCATCCTTCAATGGAGGTACCCAGTTGGGGTGCCAGGTGATCCGTTACAATTGGTGGCAAGCGGCGGGATCGTTCCCACAGACCAGAAGGACAGCTACAAGACAACACCAGGGCTTGGATTACAGATAGAGGGATAGAGCTAGCTACCGTGCAGTGTCCCTATCTACTACAGCATGGAGCGAGCAAGACCCTGCATAGAATCCTGCGAAGGACACCTCAACCTGACACGTCCCTACGAGGGCGACGCTTACCGGGAAGAGGTAAAGAGGCGGTTGGTCTGGTATGGCCCAGACCCTTCGAACGAGGTGGTCTTCCAAGTAATGCACCAGTTGAATGCTGAGAACCTTGCGACAATGGTCTTTGAACAAAAACAGCAGCAGAGTGAGTTACAGGGAGCCAAAGGTGTCGTCCTTCCTCCCCAGCAGCCGAGTGAGTTACAGGGAGCCAAAGGTGTCGTCCCTCCTCCCCAGCAGCAGTGTGTATTACAGTGAGCTGAAGGTGTCGTCCTTCCTCCCCAGCGGCAGAGTGAGTTACAGGGAGCCAAAGGTATCGTCCTTCCTCCCCAGCGGCAGTGTGTGTCCCAGGGAGCTGAAGGTGCCGTCCTTCCTCCCCAGCGGCAGTGTGTGTCCCAGGGAGCTGAAGGTGTCGTTCTTCCTCCCCAGCGGCAGTGTGTGTGTCCCAGGGAGCTGAAGGTAGTCCTTCCCTCCCAGCAGCAGTGTGTGTCCCGAGGGAGCTGAAGGTGTCTTCCTCCTCCCAGCGGCAGTGTGTGTGTCCCAGGGAGCTGAAAGGTGCGTTCCTTCCTCCCCAGCGGCAGTGTGTAGCAGGGAGCTGAAGGTGCGTCCTTCCTCCCCAGCGGCAGTGTGTGTCCCAGGGAGCTGAAGGTGTCGTCCTTCCTCCCCAGTCCCGAGCAGTGTGTGTCCCAGGGAGCTGAAGGTGCCGTCCTTCCTCCCCAGCGGCAGTGTGTGTCCCAGGGAGCTGAAGGTGCCGTCCTTCCTCCCCAGCGGCAGTGTGTGTCCCAGGGAGCTGAAGGTGTCGTCCTTCCTCCCCAGCAGCAGTGTGTGTCCCAGGGAGCTGAAGGTGGTCCTTCCTCCCCAGCGGCAGTGTGTGTCCCAGGGAGCTGAAGGTGTTCCTCCCCAGCGCAGCAGTGTGTGTCCCAGGGAGCTGAAGGTGTCTTCCTTCCTCCCCAGCGGCAGTGTGTGTCCCAGGGAGCTGAAGGTGCCGTCCTTCCTCCCCAGCGGCAGTGTGTGTCCCAGGGAGCTGAAGGTGTAGTCCTTCCTCCCCAGCGGCAGGGTGTCCTGCAGGGAGCAGAGAACGTCGGTCTCGCACCCCAGCAGCAGGACAAAATACTGAAAGTGGAGACGGTCGGTCCCCCTCTCCACCAGCAGAGAGAGTGTCAGGGAGAGGAGCCTGCTATCCCCTCTCCCCAGCGGCTGAAAGGATATATGGGAGAGGAGCTGGTTACCCCCTTTCCCCAGCGGCAGCTTGACATACCCAGTGGAGACAGTAAGCCCCACGGCCATGCAGATGGGACCATGGTCTCTGCACTTACAGCACAGGGGGTAGGGACAGTCGATCCTACCCCCCCAGCGACCGGGCTCTTTAGCCAAAGGGGAGACAGTCGGTCTCCCCCTCCGGCAGCAGAGCTGTGTATCCAAAGTGGAGACAGTCGGTCTCCCCCTTCAGCCACCAGGCTCCAACCAGACTACTCCCGTGGTAGTGCTGACACCAGGGGGCTTACATGTAAAGTAGATAAACTTATAAATGTATATAAACATGTTTTTTTTTTCTTCAATCAATGGATGTTTTACAAGAGATGTATAAAATAAATGAGGTAATACAACACAGTAAATTATACCTCCTTATAAAGAAGAGGTAAACTGGTGGAACAAGAGCCAAATGGAGGGAAGGGGAAAAGGGGGAAGAAAGGGATTTATGTTAAGACGATTAGAAAGACATCTCTCTCCATATTTTGTGATAGATAGGGATGAATAATACAAAATAAAATAGAAAACAACACAGTTATGGAAAATGCACGGAGACAAATAGAGGGATAAACGAAAACTGGATAAATAAGTTTAAAAGAAAAGGGATCAAAATTCACTACACACTAACATATTAGAAAGGACAAAGAATAAGAAGGTCAATAAAATTAAGCAATTTTTCTTAAGATAGATAAAAATTAACACACAATTGATTACAAAATTAAAACACATTAAGGTTATAGGATTGGGAGGTTTTTCTCTCCTGTCTTTTTTTTAGTTTTTTGTGTGTTTTGTTATTTATTATTATTATTACTTTCTTTTCTTCCTTCCCTTTTTTTTTTTTTATTTCAACCAATAGAGGTTTCACAATAGAGGTAAAACAGAAATGAGGTAATACAAAACAGCTAATTATACCTCCTTATAAAGAAGAAGAAAAAGGGTTGGAAAAGAAGCTAAAGGGAGGGAGAAAAGGGGAAAGGAAAGGATTTATGAGAAGACGATTAGAAAGACAATGAAGGAGGTGAAACCTTTATCTCTTTCTGTCCAACTCTCCCCATATATAGTGACAGACAGGGATGAATAATAGAATCTAAAATAGAAAAAGACACAGTCATGAAAACGTTGCACAGAGAAGAAAAAAGAGGGTAAAATGAAAATTCTAACACATTAATAAAAAAATTCTGAAAGAAAAGGGATAAAACTCACTATACACTAATATATTAGAAAGAACACAGAACAAGAAGGCTCAATCAAATTAAGCAATTTTTCTTTTATAGAAGATAAAGTAAGATATATAAAAATTGACACACAATAAATCACTAAATTAAGACACATTAAGGTTATAGGATTGGGAGGTTTTTCTCTCCTATTTTCTCTTTTTTTTCGTTCTCTTTCCTTTTATATTTTGTGGCTTGTTGTCTATACATTTGCACTGAGAAAATTGATATATGGAAATACTTGCTAATAAGTAAGGATAATAAGGCATATGGATTAAGTAGATGGAAGAGGGAAAAGGAAGAAAGGAAAAAGTAATAGGGAAGAGGTTTAAGGTTATTAAAAATGATACATATTTTGACAATAGGACATGTGAAACTGCCTAATTTATATTTGTAATATTTTAACTGTATTATAATTTTTTTTTATTTACCTCTCCCCCCCTTCTTTTATAATTGTAACCCTACCCTCTTCGGGCTCTAGATAAAAAGCGGCCTGCCGGTCTAAGGCTAGAGTAAAAATCTCAAATAACTTTATATACTTTGGTTAGGTATAGTTTTGTTTTCACATCTGGGGATATAGGATGTGGAACTCTGTCCCCTACATGGGTGGTTGGAGATGGATTTTCTCATGTGTTTTTTTACATGAGGTTATATGTTTTTAAATGTTGTATAGTCTATGTATATGTTTTTGTAAGAATGTGCCAAGGAAATGTCATACATAAATGTAGGTTGATATTCAATGGTTAAAATTTTGATGCTTAATGCTCAGGGGCTAAATAACCCACATAACAGATCTGTGGTATATGATTATATCAAACAAGGAGCTAAAATTATATTTTTGCAAGAAAAAAGATATAAAACGCTTTATGATTTATCCCAAACCGATTTATTATTACATTATGTTCCTCATTAGAGTATAAAAAGAAATGTGGAGTTGCTCTTTTAATAACGAATGATATGGATATACAGATTACTTATCAAGATATATATAAAAACGGAAGGTACATTATACTAATATGTAAAATACAAAATCAAGAGTTTACACTCCTTAACCCCTATGCACCTAACGTTAACACCACTAGTTTCTTACAAAAGATATTCTACAAAATAGATAGTATCAGAGGAGACTTCAATTGGACAGAAATTCAGTGGGAGGCACTCCCCAACATAGGAAAGGCAAACATATGACAAATCAATTTAACTCGAAATTACACAAATATGCTCTATTACACCTATGGAGGATTCCCCATCCTCAAGAGACAGATTTCACCTGGTTCTCTAAAGTACATTATACGTATTCTAGGCTAGATTTATTTTTGAGCAATACAGAGAACATACAAGACTAAGAAGATACTAATTCAGGAGGTCACTTGGTCAGACCATAACCCGGTCATTTTAGACCTTAAATAAGCCCTGTAAATAAGAAATAGTTGGAGGTTAAATGACCTTCTTAAAAAAAACACCTCAGGATATAGAGAACATAAAAGAAATAACAAAACATTTTTTCAAAGATAACAAAAATAAAGGTATATGTGATACAGTAGTATTGTGTGCATACAAAGCAGTCTTGAGGGGGCACCTTATAAAAATTGGCTCAATTATAAACAGAAATAGTGGTTCTTCTTTGACAGAATTATATTTATCCTTATATGAAATAACAAAATCTAACAACAGTAACCCCTCTGTAGATACAAGTGGAAAAATAGCAAATATAAAGGAAAGAATTAACAAAATACTACTGCAGAAAACTATTAAAAAAACTAGAATCCTTAAAAATAAAATGTTATTACAGAGGTAATCGGGCAAATAATATGCTCACAAATAAAGTTAAAGGGAAAAAATTGACCTCTGTGGTACAGAGAATTATCACAGAAGAAGGATTACAATTAGTGATGTCGCGAACCGTTCGCGAACTTGCCGCGAACGGTTCGCCACGGTTTGCCACGAACCGTTCGTGGCGAACTCTGGTCAGCTGACACATCCCTGCCAATCTCCGGCAGACCCTCCCTCCCAGACCCTCCTCCTTCCTGGACAGCATCCATGTTGAAGGCATTTGTGTATGTCAGAATATATGTATGTAATAATACGCAACTTGAAATGATTTATACTTATTTCTGATACAATAATCAATAAATAAATCAATTTTAAAAAAACAATTCTACCCTGTAAAAAGGAAATTCTTGCCATACAAAGATTGATAAGTCAAGGGTACAAGCTAATCTAAATTTAGAATTTTCAGAAATAAGGGGAGATTTATCAAGATGAAAGATATGCTATATTGGTGCAAAGTGCTAAATGTTGACAGACAAATTATAGGTTTCCATGGTGATTGCTCCTCATTTTGGGACCATGCCATATAATAGTACATGTTTTGCCTTGATAAATCTCCTCCTCGTTTTTGTTGTTCTGTCTGTGCACAAATGTACATTTACATCTACATTTGTCTTCATCTTCTGTCTCTTAAACAAATCCCTCCTAGTGCTGGTGTTGGGCGCACTGGAACACTCATAGCTCTGGATGTGGCACTGCAGCAGATGAGAGCTGAAAGCTGTGTTGACGTATTTAGCACTGTGTATCAAATGCGACTCAGCAGGTACCTGATGGTGCAGACAGTGGTAAGTGTCAAGACTTACAAGGGGTTATCGCTACCATCCCCATGGCAATTTATAAATGAAATGCCTTTAGTTCTCCCAAATAAATTAAAAGAACACCCAAACACAAGCTAGCAAAATATTTATGCAATCAAAAATACTACTAAATAGGTCTCTTCAGTTAACAAATTCTTTACCAAACAAAAGGCAGAACTTAATGAAGAAATATTTATTATGAACAAAATAGTCACAGTGTATACATAAACATTGATGATAAACAAATGATTTAAACCAACAAACAATTAAAAATAAAAAGGAGAAATTAATAGAAAATACTAGTTTCTCACTTTGCAAGTACAGGAAGTAATTCCTGTTCCCGGGGGCTCAAGCAAGGAAAATGACAACTTACTCAAAATTGAATCTTGTCCTCTAAAAAGCACATGGATCATTTTAAAGTCACAGCTTTTTTTTTTTAATTGGAAAAAATAAATGTACATTGAACAAAATTATAAACGCAACACTTGTTTTTTCCCCCATTTTTAATAAGCTGAACTCAAAGATCTAAGACTTTTTCGATGTACACAAAAGGCCTATTTCTCTCAAATATTGTTCACAAATCTGTCTAAATCTGTGTTATTGAGCACTTGTTCTTTGCCGAGATAATCCATCCACCTCACAGGTGTGGCATATCAAGATGCTGATTAGTTTGTGAAGATTCAAGATGGGTCTCTATTCTCCTGATGCCTTCCGGGTCAAACAAATTCTTAAGTGGTAACCTAATTCTTTATTTCCATGAGGAATAGGGCAGGTTACTTATTTTGTCAAGAATGAGGTTGTGAAGAGATGAATAGCATTTGCCTTTTTTAGATCTAGAGGATTCTGGATTGTTAGAAACCGGGCATAAAGGATGGAAGAGAATTCCAAAAATAGCCTTTGCTTAGAATTTTTCAAACCCATTTGTCAATGATCAAGTGGGCCCATCCAGGACAATTGAGAACATCCAGGATTATTGCACAGGTGTGCCTTAGGCTGACCACAATAAAAGGCCACTCCAAAATGTGCAGTTTTACTGTATTGGAGGGTTCCCGAGGGGGAGGGATGGGCTGAGTGAAGTTGCAGGATATTGGCAGGACCTGCAACACGCTGTTGTATACTCCGATCCAGAGCATCCCAAACATGCTCGTTGAGTATGCTGGCCATGCAAGAATTGGGATGTTTTCAGTTTACAGGAATTGTGTACAGATCTTTGCAACATGGGGCCGTGCATTATCATGCTGCAACATGAGTTGATGGTCGTGGATGAATGGCACAACAATGGGCCTCAGGATGTCATCACGGTATCTCTGTGCATTCAAAATGCCATCAATAAAATGCCCCTGTGTTCATTGTCCATAACATAAGCCTCCCCATACCATAACCCCGCCACCACCATGGGCCACTCCATCCACAACAATCAGCAAACTGCTCATCCACATGACACCATACACACTGTCTGCCATCTGCCCTGTACAATGAAAACCAGGATTCATCCATGAAGAGAACACCTCTCTAAAGTGCCAGACATCATCAAATGTGAGCATTTGCCCACTCAAGTCGGTTATGACGATGAACTGCATTCATGTCGAGACTCCGATGAGGACGACGAGCAAGCAGATGAGCTTCCCTGAGACAGTTTCTGACAGTTTGTGCAGAAATTCTTTGGTTATGCACACCAATTGTTGCAGCAGCTGTCTGGGTGGCTGGTCTCAGACGATCTTGGAGGTGAAGATGCTGGATGTGGAGGTCCTGGGCTGATGTGGTTACACGTGGTCTGTGGTTGTGAGGCCAGTTGGATGTACTGCCAAATTCTCTGAAACGCCTTTGGAGACAGTTTATTGTAGAGAAATGAACATACAATTCACGGGCAACAGCTCTGGTGGAAATTCTTGCAGTCAGCGTGCCAATTGCATGCTCCCTCAAAACTTGCGACATCTGTGGCATTGTGCTTTGTGATAAAACTGCACATTTTAGAGTGGCCTTTTATTGTGGCCAGCCTAAGGCACACCTTTGCAATAATCATGCTGTCTAATCAGCATCTTGATATGCCACACCTGTGAGGTGGATGGATTATCTCGGCAAAGGAGAAGTGCTCACTAATACAGACTTAGACAGATTTGTGAACAATATTTGAGAAAAATAGGCCTTTTGTGTACAAAGAAAAAGTCTTAGATCATGAAAAATGGGGCAAAAACAAGTGTTGCGTTTATAATTTTTTGTTCAGTGTAGTCAGGGCCGGCGTAGGGGTGTGCGAGCTGTGCGGCCGCACAGGGCGCCGTGGAGCAGTGGGGGCCATGTGGCTGACACAGCTCACACATGGCCGGCTAAACGGGTGGAGGATTTCATTATTCTCCACCCGGGCTTAGAAAAAAACTCCCAGCATTGCGGTGGGGGCGGGGCTTACCTTGTGGCGGGGGCAGAGCTAAAATGACGGCTGCATGGGAAGCAGGAAGGAGTCCCTGCTTCCCCAACAACCAGACCCCAGGAGCTGCACTGCCTCCCCTTTTCCCAGACCGTAAAGGACAGAGGTAACCATGTATGACTGTCTGTTTGTGAGTGTGTGTGAGTATGTGCAACTGTCTGCCTTTGTGTGTGTGAGTACTTGTGTGTGTGGCTGTCTGCCTGTGTGTGTGTGTGTGGCTGTCTGCCTGTGTGTGTGTGTGTGTGTAGCTGTCTGCCTGTGTGTGTGCGTATGACTGTCTGCCTGTGTGTGAGTACCTGTGTGTATGGCTGTCTGCCTGTGTGGCTGTCTGCCTGTGTGTGTGTGTGTGCGCCTGTGTGACTGTCTGCCTGTGTGTGTGTGGCTGTCTGCCTCTGTCTGTGTGAGTACCTGTGTGTGGCTGTCTGCCTCTGTCTGTGTGTGTTTGAATACCTGCCTCTGTGTGTGTGACTGTCTGTGTGTGAAGCTGTCTGTGTGTGTGTGTGTGTGTGTGTGTGTGTGTGACTGTCTGCCTCTGTGTATGTGACTGTCTGCATGTAACTGTGTGTGTGTGTGTGTGTGAGACTGTATGTGTGGCTGTATGTATGTGACTGTCTGTCTGTACCTGTGTGTGTTTGTCATTGTCTGCCTGTAACTGTGTGTGTACATGTGTGTTACTGTCTGATTGTAATTGTGTGTGCGTGTGACTGTCTGCCTGTAACTGTGTGTGTGACTGTATGTAACTGTGTGTTACTGACTGTATGTAACTGTGTGTTACTGTCTGCCTGTAACTGTGTGAGTGTGTTTATCTGCCTGTAACTGTTTGTTTCTGCCTGATCCTGTGTATTTGACAGTATCTATGTATAGCTGTGTGCATCTGACTGTGGAACTGTGTGCATGTGACTCTGCAGTCTGACACATCTGGCATGCACTTCTGTTGACTGTAGACCATAAGTAGCTGTCTTCCTAGCTCCGGCCAATCAAATTACTGCCGCAGATTACCACAGGACACTGCAAGTCCCTGAGCTTGCGAGACAGTTACCAATGGTCTGCACCCAGATCAGCATTCCCCTCTCCCAACTAGGTAACAACAGGAAATGAGGAATTAATATTTGTTTTTAAATCATTATTTATTTAATACACTATAAAAAGAATGATGGGGGGGGGGGGGCACTGCGAAAAAGATTCGCACAGGGCGCCTAAGGGCCTAAGTCCGGCCCTGAGTGTAGTTACAATTTATCTCGTACAATTTCAATATGGACAAGGAATTGCAAAAACATATACACATGCAGACATATATACATATCTTGTAATATTAATGCTAGTAATTTAGTGTTTATTGTATCTCCATCTGTACATCAGATATTACTTAAATATTCGTTTGTCTCTTTTATAAGCAGACTTATATCATAGACAATTACTAACAAAAAAAGAATCACAAATTGTGCTGAAAGAAAAGTAAAATCTAGAAAATGATCAAGGCGGTCCTAAGAAGTCATTAATTGTTCCCTAGTTTTGTGACCCATATATGTTTTATACCCTCTGTGCCCATTTCGAGTTTCCAAGTCAAAGTTACTGTAAGAACTCTATATTGATTACACCTTCCCTCTCACCTTAAACACCAATCTATATAATAGAGCTTATTTAAAAATGTTTTAATCTCTTGCTGTACACCTAGCACAGAAATGATTTTTACATCTGTCACAATTTATCTTTTCCAAAGACGTCTTATTAGACTCATCTGCAACTAAGAACTCCCACAAATGGCTTAAGGTGCAAGGGCCATATTTTTACTTCTTTTGTAAGGAACACCTTCAGCATTCTGAATATGTATAGCAGAATGCATCATAATTAGAGATGTCGCGAACGGTTCGCCACGGTTCGCGGCGAACTCCGGTCAGCTGACACATCCCAGCCAATCTCCAGCAGACCCTCCCTCCCAGACCCTCCTACTTCCTGGACAGCATCCATGTTGAAGGATGGTTCGCGACATCTCTAATCATAATTCGTCTCAGGATGATTATTCATTTATTTTGAATATGGCTCTAAGCAGAGAATTGTTTCCTGACGGCAAACTGTCGATTAGCATTTCAAATAAAAACCAAAATGTGCTTAGTTAGTAAGTTTGCGGAAAAGTACATATAAATGCCCTTTGGGTTCAATATTTTACACCTGGCCAAAGGGACAGAGCTGGATGTTTGGCCTCATATGAAAGAATCGAATTTTCAGCTTTTTCTGTGATCTGATACATAGCACATAGCAGCCAAAATAAAGAGACACTCCAGGCATCAAAACAACTTCATCTAAATGAAGTTGTTATGGTGCCAGGAGGCCCCTGTTGGCCCTTTTGAAGTTGTTATGGTTCCAGGAGGCCCCTGTTGGCACTCTTACCTCAACCGTTTAACCCCAACAGGGTTAACCCGAACAGTTTAACCACAATGTTGCCTCCAGTAGGGATGTCCATTTTCCCTCAGGAGGCATCCAGCTTCTGCATTTTTAGATTCAGGAATTGTGGAGTGCTGCTGGACTCTCAGACCATCAGTGACTACACATTTACTAAACTGGCTTGGATCAGCAGCTTCACTGCCCTAGAGCACTCAACACTTCCTGAATCTGAAAATTCAGAAGCCAGATGCTGCCTGGGGGAAGTGGACAATGCTGGAGAAATGGACAATGCTCCTGGAGGCAACCGAGAATGGTTTAACCCCTTGAGGTAAGAGTGTCTCCGGAGACCTCATGGGGTTAAACCGTTCTCGGTTGCCTCCAGGAGCATTGTCTACTTACCCCAGGTGGCAATTAAGTTGTTTTGGTGCCTGGAGTGTCCCATTAACCCTGATAATACACACATATAAGCATGCTAGCTGGGCATGACAAGACTAATATTACATCTTGGTTTGTAGGAGCAATATATTTTTGTGCATCGCTGTATTCTTGAAAAGATAATGCAAGAGAAGGAATATAGCAACCACAAATGTAAGTAACAAAGTAAGTGAGTAATAAATTCTAAACTTGATGGACGCATGTCTCTTTTCAGCTATGTAACTGCAACTAAGTAGCAAACCTTACAATTAGATAATTTGTTACCTAAAACTGCATTGCTTTTATATTGTATTCAAAAAGATTATAAGAGATACTGAGATAACTGTAGATAATAAGGGGAATATATGCGGTTGGGAAGAGAAAATCAGGGGGGCTGGGGAGAGATCATTGGGGATAATTTATAATTGTGGTAACTACAGAATTCTACATGTATGTTTTTGTATGCTATTGATGGAGAATACATTGTGTTACCTATGCAATGCTTAGTGAATATTCCCCTAGACATACAGAGCTATATATAATATATATTAATATTATGTTACAGAGTGTCAGTCTCATGTCCTGCTTTCTACTTCTGTATTTTTTATTACTAGCTAAAAGTATATACACTATACATGGCTTGAAAGACTGAATGGTCAGTAGGCCTGATTTTAATACAAGATACTAATGCTTTGAGAGGGTTAAATTCGCATTCTTTAAACATACCATATTTTTCTGTTCTGATGCCTGACACTAGTTTCCACTATCTTTTATAAACATCCTGCCGTTGTAAAAAATAACATACTCTCTAAGCACCTGAAAATTTTAATTGGGTTCCTAAATCAAAGACTGTCATGTACATCAGTTAACAGAAGATGTGAATTTAAAAACATATTTTACCCCTGTATCTAAAAATACCTGGACAGGTCTTCCTCTATGGTTTGTTGGTGGGAGGGGGTGCGAGGGAATAGAGGTGAAGCTATTAATTTAAGTCCCACGGGTGTAATTAGTACATCTGGATATACCTTGCCTAACTCTCACCTGCAGTACCAGAGAAAAGGGGACTTGTCATAGATACAGGTAAATAAAGGGTTAAAATGCCTTTGCGTTAGTTAAGTCTTTCCACATCTGCAAGGGTTAAAAGCATGAATTTTCTTCCCTGTCTGCTATCTGCTGCAAGCTGCGACTCCCTTTTTATTCTCACAGGAGAAACTCAGACTGCATATTTAAGATAAGATGTGCTATACATGCGCAGTAGATTTACAGCAATTCGTAATGTTAAATGAATAATGATACTTTTTGCACTGAAATTTCTATGATTGGTTGATTTTGTCTTCTGTTGTATACACCCCTATGAAAACTGTGTTTCATATATACGATGTACACGCATTAAAAAGCTACTACTCTCTTGAACTTTATCTGACTGGCATGTGCATTGATTGTTCATTTTGAAGCCTAACAGTTATTTATGGTTTTATGTTTTGTAGGCGGTCCATGAAAGAAGTTTGTCCAGGGCCTCATACATATTAAAGATGACTGTGTTATAGTGTTGGGCTAATGAGCAGATTATTGGGGTGGAAGGGGGAGTTGTAAGCCATTTTATGAAGATATATATTCGTTATGCGCTATGTGTATATCTATCTGCATTTTCAAAGTAAGTGTTAGATGAGGCAGAGTCCCTGAAGGAGACAATTAGTACTCCTCTGGCACTTATAGTTTAGCAGTGGAAGATATGTAATACGGAAATTCATACCATTTTTTTAAGGTTTGTGAATAGGGTGTATGTTGAACAGACCAGATTTTGTCAATATTCCCACTGGAACAGAACTGGAAAATGTTTAAATCCTGGAATGTTGGTGTGCCTTGAGGCGTCTGTTGGATTGGACCCACTTCTTTACACCATTCCATGTATCCTGCAGTGTAGAGACAGGTGTATTTAATTTGTGAAATCCTACTGCAGCCAGTCCACCATGAGGGTTCACTGACAGTTTCTAGCTATCTATTGCCCGAACGTAATCTCTATCTCTACCTTTTGTCTCATTCCACATTATCTCCTATAAAGTGATAACTCACAGGCAACCTTTCCAGTCCTTTTGTACCAAAGTGTAGAGATATTCACCCATTGTACAGCATTGCAGTACATAATGGTACTTTGTAAGTACTCATTATAAATAATCTGTTCCTTTTATACTGGTACTGTATGTTTTAATTGTTATATCTTCTTTACCAACTGTACAATGTTGCGGAATGAGGTAGCACTTTATAAATAAGAAATAATAATCATTCATCGCAAAAAAAAGCAGTAGCAGTAATTTTATAATGAAATATTTATGTTGTAGCTGTAAAATGTGATTATTTGCTATACAAATTATTGGAAAATCAGATGAATCATACAAAAATAAAATTATTGTTTTAATAAAATATGAAATAAGACAGGTGTCTCCATGTTTTCTTTTCAAACAGATTAATAGAATATCAAAAGTATAAAACTTGGCTGTTACATACAGCCATCTCATATTTCAAATTGAACACATCTAATGGAGTCATTGTCACAAAGTAACAAACTGGCAGATCTTTGAGAGATGAGGCGTTTAAAAATAAAATGTATATAACTTTGTATTTAAGTTTACAAAATGAAAACAAAAGAGGTATGTGGCGAAACCAACCTCGCCACTGTGCACTGGAGAAGCCTGGTTGCTCGCCTGCTCCCTTTAGACTATGGTCCTGCATTTTGTACTTTTATTTTACCGGCAGAAAGGTTTATTCGTGCCTTTCTGCGGACTGTTAAAGCCATGCTACCCCAGATAGCTATGCCATGGAGCCCAGCCGTATACTGAAAGACTGTATGAAAGACTTTGACTCCATGGCGATTGAACTGTATGTATGTGATCTGAGCGCCATTCGGTAGTAATGTGCACTCAGATCTAAGCTATCTGGGGATATGTAGAATGTCTATGTTTTATGGAATAAATGTAACTGTATGTAATTTTATGTCTTTTATTGTCCTTTGTCTGCCATGTGGTTAATGGAGTTTTGCCTCAGTCCTTGGAGATAATTTGATTACTTCACAATTATCTCCTGGACAGAGAGGAGGGATTGTGATGTAATTGTGGGTGTGTTTTACGGTTCCCCTGTAACGATTGGTTGTACTGTGTCCCACCCTGTGGGATGTCC